GCTCAACATATTTTGCCGAACTTACGACTTTCCCCCAGACTAGGTCTGCCAACGCCGCGCCTTTCGAAGCATTGTCCAACATAAACTTGCCGCCTGTGGGCAAGGTAAAGTTTTTATCCTCTTTGCGCCGTGTCCTGCCAGAGGCTGAACTAGCCGCGAAGTAAATCTAGTCTTTTATAAAATAAAAGAAAAATATAATTAAAAAAAAAAAAAATTACAGAAAGGGGGAGTAATCGGGCCCCACGGTTTTGGCGCCATTTCGCTAGCCTAGTATTGTCGATGACTACCGGCCACCTCACAGTGCCACGCAATAATGCGTGCCCCCCATTACTCTCTAAATCAGTCGTACTTGACTCGGAATCTCGCCAAGAGCGAGGTTGCCGAGGTAAGCGCTCTGGTGGGTTTTACCTCATCAGCACGTTTCGTCGGTCCAGGACGCACCCAGTGCGACCTTTAAAAAGAACGGCAAATACCCTTGTAAGGGTGTTTGCTACGACCGCTCTTTGCTGCACTGATAGAAGGGGTGTGCGGACTGACCAGTCCTAATGTAAACACTCCCAAACCGTCTATAAATATTTCTGGAACAGACGCTCCCAGACCGTCTATAAACATTTCTGGTTGGGGTCCGATTTGTCCACTGGCTGTGATCGCCGTCCTGATTGCGATGTTAAATAATTCCTGAGGACTCTCGGGGGCTGTCCTTAAATTGCCTCTTGATCAGCCAGATCAAACGAACGTAAGGCTCGTTGCACGCGAGGGTAAACAAAGGGCAGGCTGGTCATAAGCATACACCTTGGGCACAGGGGTGGGCCGTGACTGCACACCTTAGACACCGCAACTTGATGATGCTCATAGTACCTTGGATACAGGGGAAGGGGATTCCAATTGTGAACTCTATTGAACATCACTATCATATCCATTGTGCATACATCTGCTCACTGTAGTTTATTTTTACCTTGATTAGTTGGTTGACAGACCGCTAACAACTAACAGGCATAGTAGCGTAGGACTGTAATTTACCATTGTCAGTTCTTCTCAAAGCTTCTGTGTAGAACTACTCAGGTTAGAAGTAAACTACATGTGTACAGTCCGTGTAGGTGCTGTTGATGTCGCTTGACCGGTAGTCTAGGTAACTCGCCGGACATTGTTATTTTATTTGTTTTTAGAACCGGTCAGACCCATGCTACGGTAGGTCCCAAAGAGGACATTAGTGCTGACAGCGTCTGCCTAGCCCATGAGTGAATCTGAGGGTGGTGAAGATACATCAGACGATAGGAGGCAGACACGACGGGGCACCAGTAGGATATGCGTAGTGTTCCAGGTTCTACTACCAAGAGACGAGAGAAGACATAGGGCCGAAGCAAGGGCCTGTATTCTAGAGATTGCGAGAGAGGCAGCAACAACGGCTGAACGAACGTTGGCAGCAGCAGCAGCTAGCGCAATAGCAATGGCTACCTCTTCAGCCACTTCTGCTGCAAACTCTATCGGTTAGAGTTTGAACATGCCACTCAACGCGACCAGTTCACAGTCCATCTCCAGTACGCCGGGAGCTGGCACAAGTCAGATGGTGGGTTCGCAGTTCAGCTCGCCGCCTCCACGCACCCGCGAGCAGATGGAGCTCCACCAGGTGGAAAGGTTTCGCTTGAGGCTAGAGGAGAAACTTAAACAGGCTACTAAAAGAGAAAAAGAGATTAGAGACGGGAGTGTCAGACTAGAGGGTAGGGAGATAGACAAAGCTGCACTAGAGGGGTTAGATGACTCGACCCTTAGTAATACTGAAAATATTTGTTGGGCGAGCATCCTATCCATGCACACATACATGAAGAGCAAACTGGATACAATCCAAGACACCTTGGACCAGATCTTGAATGTCATGCATAGGCCAGGAATCAGGCCAGCAGTTTGCCTTCGCTGCCATCCTCAACGATGACAGGCCTCTATGCCTCTTAGTCTGGACCATCACCAAGCGGTACATTAGCAGCAACCATGTCACAGACTGTTGCTTCTTCATTTTCTGGTCCAGCGGCTGGAGCTACACCACAGCCGCCACCTGTCTCACCGGTGGGACAACTGCAACCTTGGTACCCCAAGACCCCTCTGAAACCACCTCCAACCTTCTCAGGAGATAAGAACGGCGAGGCTCTCAACACTTGGTTGAGAACAGTTCCAGTGTGGGTCATGGCGAAGAGGACGTTGGTAGAGGAGGAGGTGATTATTGCTGCATCCTACTTGGAGGGCTCAGCAACTCGCTGGCTAAATGGATTAGTGGCTTCAAAAGGGTTCCGCAGAAACATGGGTGACTGGGCCAAGAGCCATACCCTTGAAAGCTTTATGGATTTAGTGGAGGCTCAATGGCACAACCCTCAGCAGGCGCAGATTGACATTGATGGGCTACTGAAACTTGATTCCAGGAAGTACAAGTGCGTGAGAGACCTGACCACAACCGTAGAGCGGTTGATTGTCGTTCGAGGAGTGGAGTATAATCCACAGATGTTATTGACCATGTTCTTGAGATGTCTTCCCACAGACATCAAAAACCTCTTAGCTAGCGAGGCTCGTCTAGAGTATCACACGTTTGAGACATTCAGTAAGAAGGCCGTAGATTTAGAGGCTACGTTGGGTGGTGCTCAACCCCCCCTTATGGATGGAAGAAAGAAGAAGACTGCACAAGAATGGAAGAAGAAGCGTAGTCGATTGATGATGGTTGATTCCGATGGGAATCAAATTGAGATCGATGATGTTTTTGAGCTTGTGGAGGGTTCAGAGTTAGACGGCAAGGAGAGTGCTGAGGGTAGCAACCTCGCCGCCGTAGTTAAGACTAAGGCAGGTGGTCACGGCAAGGGCGGTCAAGAGAGGAGTCAGGGGCAAGCCGCCAACCCGAACAAAATAGTTGCTTGGGTGAGGGCCGGTTTGGATTAGGAAGTGTGGCGGGACCGTTGGTCGTGGGGTGCTTGCATAAACTACGAAGAGTATGACCATAAGCAGTTTAAGTACAAGGACCCGAAGGTTTCGCAGAAGATCCCTCCTAAGGGTGGGTTTCCTTCTTCTCAAGTTGGGGCCTCCACGAGCTCCAGCTCGGGAAACACTTAGGGCCGGTAGAAGCTGTAGTTGCTTCAACTCTCGTTGAAGCGGGTGATGTACCCTCCCCGTTTCAAGAGTTGGTCGAAGCTATTGACTCTTGAGTCACCCCGCAGACGCATCCAGACCCAACTATACTCTGAACGCTGGATGTGTCTGAAGCCTTAGTGGACCTTCAAGGTCAGTGGTCGGCAAGGGACCCTCGTGAGTCCTGGGTGGCACTAAGTAGAGGTCCTAGAGGGGCGCACTTAATTGTGGAAGTTGGTGTGGGTGGTCGCAAGTGCGGCGGCTTCGTAGACATTGGCTCCACGCGAAACTTCATAAGTCGCGACTGCGTTGAGAGACTGTGCCTAAAGGATCGGGTGCAGCGCCTTAGTAGACCGGTAGCATCTACTTTGGCCAACAAAGAGTGCATGATGGTGGATGACTACGTTAAGATGTGGTCTGCTTTTTCTCCTACCTAGGAGGAAAGTTAAATCATAAGATATCTTTCCTGGTGAGCGGCCATTTGCATTTCGACATGCTGTTGGGCATGTACTACCTCGAGGTTGCCAAGCCCAGTTTGACTCGGACAAGGAAGTGTTGAAGCACGCATTGCCTAATGGGAGGACCGTTAGACTAGCTAAGTATAAAGCTAGTAGGTTGATAGACTCCTATGGGTGTTTGTGCGCATCGGCCTTTTATAACTACTATAAACAGAACCAAGAGGAAGGTATGTACTTAGTCTATGTGTCTGCAAAAGGGGAGGCCATTAAAACACCCCCAGAGACAGAGACCGTCGTCGCTAAGTACCTTGATCTGTTTGAGGAGCCTACAGGAGTCGTAGACAGGGAGATTGTCCATGCCATAGAGATCATCCCAGGTAGCAAAACACCAAAACGAAAAATCTATAGGATGGCTCCGACCAATTTGGACGAACTTCGGCGGCAACTGAAAGAGCTCACAGAAAAGGGTTGGATTCGGCCTAGCACCTCCCCCTTTGGCTCACTAGTGTTATTTGTTCCAAAGAAAGGGGGAACGCTAAGGATGTGCATTAATTATAGAGGCCTCAATGCCATCACCGTTAAGAACGTAGAGCCTCTACCACGCATCGACGACCTATTGGATAGGGTGCAGGGGTGTAAGTGCTATACCAAGATGGACTTGAAATCCGGCTACCATCAGATTGCCATAAGACCAGAGGACCAACACAAAACTGCATTCCAGACCAGGTACAGTCTCTACGAGCTTGTGGTGATGCCCTTTGGCCTTTGCAACTGCATTCCAGACCAGGTACATTCCAACACGCCATGAATAGGATTTTCCATGACTACTTAGATAAGTTTGTTGTCGCGTACCTCAATGATATACTTATCTTTAGTAAGACTGTCGAAGAGCATGTTCAGCATGTAGACAAAGTACTCTCGCTCCTTCGACAGCACAAGTATAAGATAAATGCAGAGTAATGCGAGTTCGATCGCACTCGAATCTTGTACTTGGGTCATGAAGTATATGCGGATGGGATTAAGCCCGAAGATGTGAAGGTGACTAGCATTAGGGATTGGCCACGACCCCAGTCTGTGACTGAGGTCAGATCATTCTTTGGAATGTGTGGTTGTTACCGCAATTTCGTAAAGAACGATAGTACGATCACATCTCCCTTGACTGATCTAACTCGGCTGATCTAACTCGACTTGACACGCCATGGGACTGGACCGACGAGTGTGAGGCAGCCCAAGACCCCAATGAAACCGCCTCTTGCCTTCTTTGGCGAGAGAAAGGACGAAGAACTCAACACATGGTTGAGGACAGTCCCGGTTTGGGTAAAGGCCAATAGGACCTTGCTAGAGGACGAAGTGGTTACCGCTGCATCTTACCTTGAGGGTAAGGCAGCCAAGTGGCTAGATGGGGTAGTTGTAAAGGTCGGGTATGGGCGACGCATGGCGGACTGAGCTAAGTCTCTGACGTTAGAACAGTTCATGGAAATGGTAGAAGCTCGATGGCATAATCCACAAGAGGCACAAAGGGCCACTGATGCGATTAACAAGTTAGACCAACGAAAATTTAAATCAGTCAGAGAGCTTACGACTACCGTTAAGAGCTTGATCCTCGTCCCAGGCATCAACTACAGTGACCAGTTCCTGTTAACTACGTTTGTTAGATGTTTACCAAAGAACATCAGGAACTTACTGGCCAGCGAGGCATGCACTGAGTACCATTCGTTTGAGACACTGTCTAGGAAAGCCTTAGATTTGGAGGCCACGCTAGGCAATGCTCAACCAACCTCTCAGATTGACACGAAGAAGAAGAAGAGTCCTCAGGAGTGGAAGAAGAAGGGGGCTAAGTTGATGATGATTGAGTCCGATGGGACTCAAACGGAGATCGACGAGCTCACTGACCTGATGGACTATACAGAGTTTGACGGCGAGGAGGTAGCTGAGGGTAGCACCCTCGCCGCGGTAGTCAAGACTAAGGCAGGTGGCCGAGGGAAGGGCCAACCTAGGAGTCAAGGAAAGGCCGCCTCCAATCAGACCAAGCAGCCTGAATGGGTGAAGGCAGGTCTTGACCAAGACGTGTGGCGTGACCGCCGAGTGCGTGGCGCTTGTATTAATTGCGGGGAATACGGACACTCGCAATACAAGTGCCAGAACGCAAAGGCTACGCAAAAGATACCTCCAAAGATGGGGGCATCTTATTCCCAGGCTTCAAGCTCGGGAAACGCGTGAGGCCATTGGAAGTTTTAGCGGCTTCTACTCAAGATGACCTGGGCTTGATACCCTCCCCACTTCATGACAAGGCCGAAGCTAATGACTCCTTAGCCACCCCGCAGACACATTTAGACCAAACTATGCTCTGTACGTTAGATGTGTCTGAGGCCTTAGAAGACTTAGAAGGTGAGTGGTCAAACAAGGACCCTAGCGAGTCTTGGGTGGCACTGAAGAAAGGTCCTAGAGGGGAACATTTCGTGGTGGAAGTGGATGTAGGAGGCCGCAAATGTGGAGCCTTTATAGACATCGGATCCACACGGAATTACATAAGTCGCGACTGTTTGGAAAGGCTGCACCTATAGGACCGGGTACGGCACCTTAGTAGACCAGTAGCATCTACTTTGGCCAACAAGGAGCGTATGATCGTAACAGACTACATCAAGGACGTAGTCTGTACCTTCTCCTATGGAGGAGGCGATCTTAACCATAAGATCTCGTTACTGGTTAGCGACGACTTACCATTTGACATGTTATTAGGCATGTGCTACCTCGAAGTTGCTAAGCCCCAGTTTAACTGGGATAAGAAGGTGCTCAAGCATAAGTTGCCCGATGGCCGAACTATCAGATTGACTAAGTTTAAGGCCAGTAGCATTATAGAAACCTATGGCTGCTTGTGCGCATCAGCGTTCTACAATTATTACAAGCAAAACGAAGAGGAGGGTATGTACCTTGTGTATGTCTCTGAGAAAGGGGAGGTCGTTAAAACACCCCCAGAGATAGAACGCGTCGTTGCTAAGTTCCCTGATCTGTTCGAGGAGCCCACAAGAGTTGTTAAAAGGGAAGTCGTCCACGCTATAGAAATCATTCCAGGGAGTAAGACCCCAAAGGAAAGGATCTATAGGATGGCCCCCGCCGAGTTAGATGAACTTCGGTGACAGCTTAAGGAGCTGACCGAGAAGGGATGGATTCGGCCTAGTACTTCCCCTTACGGATCACCCGTTTTATTCGTACCAAAGAAGGGGGGTACTTTGAGGATGTGCATTGACTATAGAGGCCTCAATGCCATCACAGTGAAGAACGCAGAGCCTCAACCTCACATAGACGACCTATTGGATAGGGTGCAGGGATGCAAGTGCTATACAAAGATAGACTTGAAATCCGGCTATCATCAGATTGCTATAAGACCTGAGGACCAACACAAGACAACTTTTCAGACACGTTATGGTCTGTATGAGTTTGTAGTGATGCCTTTTGGTCTTTGTAACGCGCCGAGAACATTCCACAGCACGCTATGAATCGGATCTTCCATGACCATTTACATAAGTTTGTCGTGGTCTACTTAGACGACATTCTGATCTTTAGTAAGTCTGCCGAGGAGCATGCATAACATGTTGAGAAGGTACTCTCACGCCTGCGACAACACAAGTATAAAGTCAACTTAGAGAAGTGCGAGTTTGTCCGCACTAAGTAATTATACTTGGGTCACGAAGTATCCGCGAAAGGGATTAGGCCGGAAGATGCGAAGGTGGCTAGTATTCGAGACTGGCCACGACCTCAAACAGTCACTGAGGTTAGATCATTCTTAGGAATGTGCGACTACTATAGGAACTTCGTTAAGAACTATTCTACAGTCGCCTCTCCTTTGACTGATGTAACTCGACTTGACACGCCGTGGGACTGGAGTGATGAGTGCGAGGGTGCTTTCAAGAGATTGAAGCATGCAGTCATGAATCATGAGGTCCTCATGGTTCCCGATCCTTAGAAGCCATTCATAGTGACCACTGACGTAAGCCAATACGGCATTGGCGCAGTGCTGGCTCAACAGGATGGGAAAAAGTTGAGACCGATTGAGTACATGAGTACGAAGATGCCATCGAAGAAGCTGGCCAAGTCCACCTACGAAAGGGAACTCTATGCTCTCAACAAGGCACTTGTCCATTGGAGAAACTTCCTATTGGGAAGATTCTTCTACTTGAGGACTGATCATCAGACCCTCAAATGGATCAAGACTCAACCGGCTCTTTCTGATGCCCTCAAGCGATGGATTGAGGTCATAGACCAATATGACTTCAAGCTTGAGTACCTGAAGGGAGAGTCTAACAAGGTTGCTGATGCGCTATCACGTAGAGCAGACTACCTAGGTACGCTAGTTTCTGACTTTGGCATATCTGAAGAAGTAACTCAATCATTGGTGGGAGCCTATCAGGAAGACCCTGTCACGATGGACATCATTCGCAAGCTTCAGGCAAAAGACAAAGCCACAGAAAGCGAGTTTGTGATGGTGGACGGGCTCCTCTATCTTGAGAAGGCCGGAATAAAAAGATTAGTAGTTCCATCTAGTGAACCTTTGCGTAGTTTATTCTTAGGAGAATGCCATGACGCAACTGGACACTTTGGCTACAAGAAGACGAGTGCTAACCTAGTACAACGATTTTGGTGGCCAGGAATGTTTGATGACGCAAAGAAGTACGTAGAGACTTGTCAGGTCTGTCAGCGGGACAAGCCGCGAACTCAACCACCGCTTGGGTTGTTGAAGCCTTTGCCTATTCCTGCTGGTCCAGGACAGAGTGTCTCCATGGATTTCATGGACACCCTGGTGACTAGTAAGAGTGGCAAGAGGCACATCTTCGTCATCATCGACCGATTCACCAAGTACGCTAGACTAGTGGCTATGCCAGAGACCGCAAGAACTGACTACGACATCAAGTTGTTCAAAGACAACTGGGTGCGTGACTTTGGTTTACCAAAGTCAATCGTTAGTGACTGAGATGTCCGATTCACAAGTGAGCTGTGGAAGAAGACTGCAGAACAGATGGGCAGTCAACTTCAAATGACTTCAGGGAATCATCCCGAAGCCAACGGACAAGCCGAACAAATGAACAGAGTTGTACAGCACTTGCTGAGGCATTACATCAAGCCCAGCCAAGATGATTGGGATGAGCAATTGCCTCTCATCGCCAGCCTGTACAACAATGCTATCCATAGCAGTACCGGTGTTAGTCCTAATCAGCTGCACTTGGGATGGAAGCCTAGATCAACATCCTACCCGAAAACCGACCCGCTGCAACTCCAGGCACACTAGAGTATGGTGTGCAGTATGAGAAGTTGCTGCAAGAGGCCGTCGAGCATATGAAGAAAGCTCAGCAAGCAATGATTGCTTTTGAGAATCAACATCGCAGACAGTCCACATTTCAGGTAGGGGAACGAGTCTGGGTCAAGGCTAGTGAGTTAGGACARGAGTTCGGAATCTCTCGCAAACTAATGCCTCAGTACTTTGGTCCCTGGGAAGTCCTGGATATAGTGGGAGATGAGATGGATGGTCCCACATATGTCATTCGTGTCCCTGGACACCTACGCACTCACCCAGTCTTTCATGCCTCAAAGCTTGCACCTTTCGCTGAGACAGGTCAATTCCCTTCCAGGGGATCGATGCTGCCCCCAACCATGGATGGACAAGGGGACATCGACGACATCGTGGATCACAGGGATATGCCTGTTCCGAAGCCGCTGGGTCAAGGAAGACCTCCTAAACCCAAGAGAGAGTACCGCGTCAGATTCAGGCATCATACGGATCCGAAAGAAGATCGGTGGTTTACCAGGGAGGAACTGATTGAGACAACTCCTCAGGTGGTGGCTGAATATGAGAGGCTACTGAAAGGGAAGGCACCTGCGAAGTAAGCATCTCAGCGGACTTTTGAAGCAAAGGGGGATGGAATGTCAGGATTGATGCCCTCAAGTAGGGGCCTTGCCATGACGTATATGTTCTGGGCTAAGGCCCCAGCAAGCCTAGTGCCCGCCCTAAGTGAAGGCGGGCCAGCAAATCAACAAGAGCCCTCTGTGCCAACATTTCACGAAGTGGGGTCCATACAGTCGCAGCACGCCAGTTGGTTGGAGTGCACCGAGTCTCGGATTTCAGCAAATGCTGAAAACCCAGGGCCTCTGAGTTAGTTAGGCCCTGGGTACTTGAATGTGAGGCCGACAATGCATGCTGGGTATAGAGGCCGAAAATGCCAAAGGGAAATCGACCCACTATCTGAATCTGGCCGCAGGCCTTAATGAGAGAGGCACAACTGCATTGCTCCGGGGCCCAACTGTATCGGGTAGGCTTCAGCCTCTGGGCCCCGGTCACAGGCTGAAGGAAGGCCGCCCACACGCTGCACTGGCATATAGGCAAGCAGGGCGAGTGGGCAGGGATCTTGGCCATTGCGAGCAAGGCCGCCACGCTACTGCGTTGCATGCATGCTGCGCTGCGCTAAGGCCGAGGGAAGCAGGACAGCGCTAGGCGATAGGGCGCTGCCTGTGGGCGCAGGGCGCTGGCGGCCATAGCCGGGCTGCCTGTGTGGGCAGAGGGGTGAAGGGCGAAGGTGGTTCTTCGGAGGTGAAGGGCGCTGTCTGGGTACAAGGGAGAGTGTGGGTGAAGAGGGCACGTACGTGGTGGAGGTGGAGGTGGAGGTCGGCATTGGTGTTGACATCATCACTTGCTGGTAGTCAAGTTGTCTGGTTGCTTTCATTGCTGTAGTTGTAGGCTAGGCTGTAGAGTAGATAGGGCGCCTGGCGCCATTCATAAGAGAGAGCTACATTGGGTTATGTTGTTGGTGTTGCCTGTTGGGCATGGACATTGACTCACGATTCTTCTGTATCATTCTCAATTGGATGGTTACTCGGTTCCATTGTGCTATCTGCTTTGGCTTTACTTACGTGTGATTTTGCATTCTGGATTTTTGTGCTTCATCCATATTCATGTTCCTTGCATGGTATAGGAAGTATGTACATATATTACTAGATATGAATGTAATATTTCTATTGATTTATCTAGTCATTTCATTATGTAGATCTTATCAATTTTAAGGTATTGGAATATTAAGGGTGTGGGTTTTGACGAGGTTTTGATTATTGATAAAATTTTGTGTCTTTTGTAGGCTAAAACGATGACGAAGGGAACATTCGACTGTATGTGTCCTCTCATCAAAGGCATCGAGGTTGCCGAGTTCTTACAGGTTTTTCAGAACTTGGCATCATTGATGCTTTGGGAGGAACATCACAAGTTCCTTTTTATTCTGAACTTTGTCATCGAAGGGTTAAAATTGGACGTCGGACTTCTTGCACGGGCTTCCGAAACTTGGGCTGAATTTGAAAGATTAATGATTGCCAAGTTTACGGAGTCACCCAAACAGGAGAACGATAAAAGCAAAAGGAAGTTAGTGCAAATAGGTGGCGAGGAGCAAAATGAGTCCGATCAATTGGAACAACCTCGTAAGCTTGCTAAGGCTGTGAGGGTTGCACGTAACTTAATTGAAGGGGGTCAAGAGAATTGTCGGAAAGAGAATCGAGCCAGGTATATTAAATCATTGCAGGATGTCCAGCTAGAGTCTCGAGAAAACATTCTGACCCCTTCGAATGTGAGTTTAAGGACACGAGAGCGAGGTGAATGTTCCAATCAGAGGGCTAACATGAAAAAAAAAACAGGGCGTTATAAACCCCTGAGGTGTATATACTGTGGTATGTGGGGTCATAGGATGAGGTACTGCAGACACCTCGACCGTGATATGGAAAAGGGAATTGTGAGGTAGACTGGAATAGCATGCCTATTTTTCCAGCTATGGAGAGAGGCAAATTTATCAAAGATGTCCTTATTGATCGTGTGTGGGCAAAGTTGAAACCGTAAAGATCGTCTTAGACACCGTACATTTCTTCTTGATAGGTCTTGTGGAGCTTATGATCTATGGCCAGACCTTTCAAGACTCATTTAATTTTGAGGTTAGGAGGTTCCTAAGGCACCATCAGTTTCATTTTACGAGTACTTGGGGGTTATAGTTTGATCAATGTTTGAGATTTTGAGGGAGGTTGGAATGTGAAAGGTTGATTTTGATAAGTCTTCATGTTATATTTTCGCTTACATGTTAATTACGTTGTTTTCATCGGATATTAATTTGGTCAAGTATTCACCTTGTCAAATTTGGTATGGTGTGGGGAATATTAAAAACGTTTTGGTGGTATGTCAACCATAGGTTAACTAAGGTTTTATTTTAGAGTTTTGCAATTTCAGTCACTATTGTTGATTTTTTTCGTACTGTTTGATGAGCATTGGTGATTGAATCCATGTGATTTTGTTAAATAATTATTATAGATTCCAACTTTGTATGAGTTTTTTTTTTGGGAAGGGTGAATGAATTTTGTTCGAGTGAAAATATTTGTGATATTTACTGTGAATCGTGTTCTTGTTCATTTCGCTGTAATGAGTGTTTTATTGTTATCATGTCTTGATGAAATTCTGATATGATCGTGAGACTTTGTGTATTTGGTTATGAATGTGGGATTTTGTAAGTACAAGTCTAAGGAGATGATGTGTATTTGGGTCATATGCCTGCGTATTATCCGTCAGACATGTGATTCGATTATTTATCTTGCCCTATGACTTGATTTTGTGTCAATTGTCATGCATTGAGGAATCCTAGTGTTGTGAGCCCAATATGCGGTAGTGAGGCCTGAGCCAGAACTTTGTTCCTCGTCCATAGTGGGATGTTGTCATCTCTCCTTTCGAGGGGGGTGGCTACACTATCGTTAAAAGGGAGGAAGGTGTTTTAGATCTTGTTATGACGTTGCCTGTGGAGTAGGCGACTGTTGTTAGCATAAAGGGAGGAGTGAACACCCGACCTTTCGCCAAGAATGGTCACCTTGCCTCCATGGTCAGGGTTTGGTCAACCTTGGTCATGATAGGTGGGGCAGTTCTACTCTACATGCAGCAGACTGACAAGGTGGAAGACACTGGAATCGGAGGGAAAGTGGTGAGGCTGGAGTCTAAAGCGGGGCTTGATGTCGAGATGTTATCCTTTATGGATTACACCACTCCTTGACGCATTCACAAAACACGTAGGAGATAAATCGTGCATGACAATTAAGTTGGAGTGGGAATTAGTCGAATTGGACAAGGACTTTTGGAAGGGTGATTTTTCTCTGGGATGGTGACGACACATGCTGTAGTATAATGTGAGTATCCTTGTGTTTTGTGGGAGGTGCAGGTTAACTCCTGGCAGCAAGAGACATGCTGAGGTGATGGGAATGCATCCTCATGAACATAAGAGACCCAGGCTAAATTCCTGGCAGTATGTGTTGTATGATGAAAGACCCGCAGGGGGTAAAGCCTGACGAGACCTACACAAGGGGTTATAGCCTGAAGAGAGTCCCATCAGGGGGATAAGCCTGACCCATCTATGAGAGACAAAAGAAGAAATGAGTGGCCGCCAGTGGGATGATGCTGGGATCATTTTTCTAAAATGTTCTTATAATTCCTCATGTTGGGTAAAGCCAATGGTCGATTCCAGATTCCGGGGAAAGACCTGCCAGAGGTTATTCCTGGCCCTTTTCCAACTTGTGACTGAATGAAAGTGTTTTCGAAGGAAGGTTCGAAAGAATTATAAGGCTTGAAAGTAAGCCTCTGTCTGATTAAGGCTTGAAAGTGTGCCTCTGTCTGTTTAAGGATAGAAAGTAAGCCTCTGTCTGTTTAAGGCTTGAAAGTAAGCGTCTGTCTGTTAAAGGCTTGAAAGTAAGCCTCTGTTATGTTTGAAAGTTAGTCAATGTTTGAAGTATTGTAAGTAATGAAATATGCATGGAGTATTTCATAAAAGAGTATCCAGATGATTATAAAAGGAAAGAAAGATGAACGACGGAAACGTCGCTCATCACGAATGAGTATGTAAGATCTGGATTGATTCCACATGTATTATGATTATATGACATATTTGGTGAGATCTTATAAAGACTTCCCCTTGTATTGCCTATGGTAAGCGACGGGGACGTCGCTTAACGGGGGCGGGGAAGACTGCTCGAGTCTTTTAAGGTCAGACACTGTCCAACTCTTTTCGTTGAGGAACATGATGAGATTGATGTTGCCAAAGTTATTCAGACCAACCTTATACCTGAGAGACCTAAAGCCTGACGTCAATGACGTATGACGTCATTGGCTTGTGACGTCATCAGCGTTCATTCGACTGAAACAGCGGGGGTAAGTGGCATGACTTGTCATCCGCGGTCCCCGACAAAGCGGCAATGGTGCGCGATCATGGAAAGACTAAAGCTAGACTTAGTCTACCTAAAATAATGTCGCGCGGCTGCTACAGGGCCTAAGTAAGCTAAAAAGAGGGGTGCGCCGGGTGTAGGACCGCGACGCGGGGGGAATAAGGGTTTTAATCCTAGGGCGCGGGGGTTGACACCGAGCCAGGGAGTTGACAGGTCAATGCCAAGGTCACACGGGCAACTGAGCATGCAAGGCCACAAGCAGGCGAGGCCTGCAGGGCCGCAGGCAGGCTGGGCCTGCAAGGCTACGGGCAAGCAAAGCCTGCAAGGTCACGGTATGGGGGAAACCTGACTGGGCGAGCTCTTCATATAGAAGAGCTGCTCCTATCACTATCGTGATAGGAGCTAGCCCAGCAGGTTACCACACCAGACTCTTACCCGGCAGATACCGGGATCGAACCTGATATAGTGGCCTATTGGGCAAAGCGCCTTTTGGAGCTGCCCCGCCATAACACTGCCTGCACGATCGGTTCTGGTCGTCCGATCGCACAGATCGCGCGGTCCAGATCGGGCGCGTGAATTAGCATGGCTCCTGCACGAGGATGACACATATAAACCGTGGGAAAAAAATAATAATAATAAATAAAATCTAACTAAAGAGGTGCGCCATGTGGCGCATGGGGATCTGACAGGGACTTGTAATCCTTGAAAAGGAGGAAACGGCCAGGTAAGTTCTTTCGTTTTCGTTTTGTTTTGTTTTTTGTTTTTCCAGATTTTTGTTTTAGATTTGTTTTTAATTTTTTTTTTTTTTTTTTTCAATCTTGCCCTCGTCCAGGCAGTCGTTCGTTTTGATGAACGAACTGCTGGGCCGAGGTCCTACTAGCAAAAAGGATAGGATCGAGCTCCTGAATCTGGATGTGTTTTATGCAGAGATGCAGAAAAGCAGTTCATTCCCGACATCTGTACCCTTCCACAAACAAGTCTAGATTCAGGCGTTCGATCCGATTCCCTTGCTAGTAGGACCTCGCCCCGGGCGTAGTGCCTGTTTGGCTAGGGTGAACGGCCGCAAGCACGAAAAAAAAAAAAAAAAAAAAAAAAAAAAAAAAAAAAAAAAAAAAAAAAAAAAAAAAAAAAAAAAAAAAAAACCCTAAAAATTTAAAATTGGAAAGTATAGTGCCATGTGGCGCATTTTTGAAGTGACTGGGGCTTTCAGCCTCAGTACATCAAACAGTCGCCCGTAAAAACGGGCGACTGTCCCTTTTCAAGCATTAGTCAGGTTTAGTTAGATTTTTTTAGATTCCCTTTTTAGGTTTTGTTTATATTTTTTTTCCTTTTTTTCTTTTTCTTCTTTTTTGTTAGTACCTGTTCGCTTCCGAACGAACGGGAGAGCATGAGTCAGGCTGTTTCGTTGGGCTTCTACAATGCTGCGATAAGTGAATCTGCCATTGATAGTGGCTATATGAGGGCTTGGGCCTTAAGGGCCTGTACTTGAGTTATGAGGGACTCTCTGCAGCCTCTCTCTGGTGCATCCCGTCGGTTCACTCGTGGCTGCCGAACGATGTGACTGTCGGGGTGCAGAGAAAGACAGAGAGAGAGAGGAAAAGGCTTGGGGCTGCGCGCCTGTATCCGACGCCTGTTTTGGCCCAGATACGGGCGCGGCAGTGGGCAACCACCCCTTGAGCCTGACTTTAGTAGGGCCCTGCGGCATGACTAGAGAGGCTGCTCGTTTTCCAAAACGAGCTGCCCCTGCCTAAGGGAGAGTAACGGCCATGTACGTGGCCGCGGGGGTAGAGTAGGTACAACGGATAGGCAGAAGAAAGAAAGAGGGGAGGAGAAGAGTTGGAAAAAAAAAGCAGTCACGAATTCGTTCGTGACCTCAATCCAGATGCAGGGCAGAGAAGCATCTGGACCTTGAAGTGACATCAGACTGTTGGTTTCAGCAATCTGCTGAGAATGGCTTCATACAACCACTTCGAGGCTGCACCTGGCCGGGGATGGCGGCCGGGTGCATTGCCAAAGCCTGGGACTTGATGTTCCTAGTAGAAAATCAAGATTCCCAGCCATCGATCGAAGTTCCGATTGAGGGTTAGGCGCAACCCCGTTTTTTTTGGCTGAGCCTCAAGTGGCTGCCCACCACGCCAGCCAAGTTATAAAAGCAAGGCTGGCCAACAGCATCCTCACTCAGTTCAGGTGCTGCCCACATTCTAATTGAGTGTGGAATGGAGAGCAGCATTATGTTGGCTGCTGGAGGAGGAGCTGCTGGTGGAGTGAGAGGGAGCTGAGTGGAGGTCTGCAAGTGAGGGAGGAGAACTGCTGAAGGTGGCCATAGTTGTGAAGCACAGCCATAGCCGCCATATCAGCGAGGTGAGGAGAGGAGAGGCTGCCATAGCCACCGTGCTGCGGGGTGCCAGCAGGAGGTGCTGCTGTTCGTGGCAGGTTTTTCGGCAAGCCGTGCAGGGGGAAACTCTGCCCGTTTTGCACGGCGGCGGCAAGTCTCGGCAAGCGGTGCAGAGGAGACTCTGCCTGTTTGGCACGGCAACGGTGGCGCTTTTTGACGGTGTCGTGGAAGCGTTGCCGTTTTTTTAGCGACGGCGGCAGTGCGTTCTAGGTAGTGACGCGGAAGCGCTGCCGAAATTTTGCGGCGACAGCGTGGGTTTGACGGCGGTAGCGCGGAAGCGCTGCCGAAATTTTGCGGCGACAGCGCGGGTTTGATGGCAATAGCGCGGAAGCGCTGCCGAAATTTTGCGGCGACAGCACGGGTTTGACGGCGGTAGTGCGGAAGCGATGCCGAAATTTTGCGGCAGCTGCACAGAGATTTTGGCGGCTTGCCGATATCTTTCGACATCGACGGTGTTTTTTTTGGCAGCGACGCGGAGGTGCTGCTGAACTTTTGCGGTGGCAGCAGTGCGTTCTAGGTGGTGACGTGGAAGCGCTTAGACTGTGAGGGACATTTTGTGGCAGCATGTCTTGGTATTGATGACAACGACGCGGTGGTGCGGTTGGTGCGACGACGACGCTGAGACGCCGTCAAATTGTTGGGAGGTGATTGTGTGTTGAGAGGGTGTCGCGGCAAGCGATCGCTCTATGGAGTGGTGTGGATCGCTTTGCGGGTGACTCGTCGTGACGATTGTCTTCTCTGGAGTGCGATTTTACACGGTCGTCTTGAGTGGGCCGTCTTTTCAACTTCACTCAAGGTCAGTCAGTCAGTCGGTTTGACTCAGACCTCTTCACACCTGTGTGAACCCACTTTGGCGTTTAACCATGCATACTTATGCTACAGCGAACGAGCAAACGCCCTCGGCCGGCCTACCTCTGCAATTGCATTATAAAAACTTTCGCACATGGGTCGGTAGCTCGACGGGGATATGCACCTAAGGGTGGTGACAGCCCCTTAGGGAAGGTAAGTTATGCCCCATGAGAACCTATCCTGTCGTAGGGGACCGTGAGATGTACAGCTGGCGCACTCGGCCGGAGCGGCGAAGGGTCGACACGGGTTAGCGTGTCATCCCCGAGTTGTCTCTAAAAAGTAGAAAGCCCGAGTTTCTCCAGCGTGACACGGTCGGGAGGGCCCTCGCTCGCGGGGGCCGATGCGCTCAACACTGAGCATGTTCCTCGACAATCTTACTGAAGATAAGTATATCGTTAAGGTACGCGACAAAAAACTTATCTAAGTAGTCATGGAAGATCCTATTCATGGCGTGCTGGAATGTACTCGGCTCATTGGCCAAAGGGCATCACCACAAGCTCGTACAGATTGTACCTGGTTTGGAATGCGGTTTTGTGTTGGTCCTCTGGTCTTATGGCAATCTAATGGTAGTCGGATTTCAAGTCTATCTTGGTATAGTACTTACACCCTTGCACCCTATCCAATAGGTCGTCGATGCGTGGTAGAGGCTTTACGTTCTTAACGATGATGGCATTGAGGCCTCTATAATCAATGCACATCCTTAGTGTTCCCCCTTTCTTTGGAACAAATAAGACTGGTGAGCCATAGGGGGAGGTGCTATGCTGAATCCAACCCTTTTTTGTGAGCTCTTTCAGTTGCCGCCGACGTTCGTCCAACTCGGCCGGAGCCATCCTATAGATTCTCCGTTTTGGTGTTTTGCTACCTGGGATGATCATTATGGTATGGACAATCTCCCTGTCCACGACTCCTGTAGGCTCCTCAAACAGATCAAGGTACTTCGCGACCATAGTCTATATCTCTGGGGTGTTTTAACGGCCTCCCCTTTTGCTGACACATAGACTAAGTACATACCTTCCTCTTGGTTCTGTTTACAATAGTTATAAAAGGCCGATGCGCACAAACACCCATAGGAGTCTATCAACCTACTAGCTTTATACTTAGCTAGTCTAACGGTCCTCCCATTAGGCAATTCGTGCTT